ACCCCCTTCCCCTCCCCCTTTTCTGATGAAGGGTCTAGGCCCGAAACATCAGCCTCTCTGCTCCTATGATGCTGCTTGGCCTGCTGTGTTCATCCAGCCCTGCACCTTGTTGTCTCGGATTCTCCAGCATCTGCAGTTCCTACTATCTCTGATTCAATCTTTTTTTTATTTCTTCATTTGTGGAACATAGGTTTCTCTGGCTGGGCCTATAGCCCCTCTCTAGTTGTCCTTGAGAAGGTGGTGGTGAGCTGCCTTCTTGAACCGCTGCAGTCCACCTGCTATAGGAAGACCAACAATGGCATTCGGGAAGGAATGTCAGGATTTTGACTCAGTGACAATGAGGGAATAGGCCAATACGTTTCCGAGTCAGGATGATGAAGGGCTTGGAGGGGGGACTGTAGGGTTGGTGTTCCCATGTATCTGCTGCCCTTGCACTTCTATAGGGAAGTGGCCATGGATTTAGGAAGTGCTAAGGATCTTTGGTGAATTTCTGTGAAGCATCTTGTAGATAGTACAGACTGCTGCTGTTAAACATTACTGGTGGAGGGAGTGGATGCTTGTGGATGCAGTGCTAGTCAAGTGGGCTGCTTTGTCCTGGATGGTGTCAAGCTTCTTGAGTGCAGTTGGAGCTGCACTCATCCAAGCAAGTGGGAAATATTCCACCACACTCCTTTCTTGTGCCTTGCAGACGGTGAACAGACTTTTGGGAATCTGGAGGTGAGTTACTCACCAGAGTACTCCTAGCCTCTGACCTACTCTCGTAGCCACTGTATTTTTCTGACGAGTCCTGTTGAGTTTCTTGTCAATGGTAACTCCAAGGATGTTCAGATGAGGGAATTCAGTGATGGTAACACCATTGAATGTCAAGGGACAGTGGTTAGATTGTCTCCTGATGGAGATGGTCATTGCCTGGCAAATGTGTATTCTGAATTTTACTTGCCACTTATCAGTCCAAGCCTGGATATTATCCAGATCTTGTTGCATTTGAACATGGGCTGCTTCAATTACAGAGGAGTCTCATATGATGCTTAACATCGTACATTCATCGGCAAACATCCCCATTTCTGACCTTTTGATAGAGAGAAGGTCATTGATAAAGCACCTGAAGACGGCTGGGCCTAGGACAGTACCCTGAGGAACTCCTGCAGAAATGTGGTGGAGCTGAGATGACAGACCTCCAATGATCACAACCTTCTTCCTATGTGCCAGGTATGACTCCAACAAGCACAGAGTTTGCCTCAAATCCCATTGATTCCAATTTTGCTGGGGCCCCTTATGTCACACTCGGTCAAAAGCCCTTGATGTCAAGGGCTATCACTCTCACTTCACCCCTGGAATTCAACCCTCTTGTCCATGGTTGAACCAAGGTTGTAATGTGGTCAGGAGCTGAGTGGCCCTGGTGGAGCCCAAAGTGGACATCGCTGAGCAGGTGAGTAGACAGACTGTGCAGTAATTCACCAGGTTGAACTTGTTTTGCATTTTGTGTACCGGGCTGAGGAAGTTCTGAGGAAGGGTCACCAGACCCGAAACGTTAACTCTGACTTTTTTCTTCACAGATGCTGTCAGACCTGCTGAGCTTTTCCAGCAATTTCTGTTTTTGTTCTTGATTTACAGCATCTGCTGTTCTTTCGGGTTTTATTCTGTACTTGAACGGACTGGCAAGGATACAGCAAGTTCTTAAGTGCAAGTCTTCAGTACCATTGCAGGAATGTTGTTTGGGCCAGTAGTCTTTGCAGTATCCAGTGTCTTCAAATGTTTCTTGATGTCACTTGGAGTAAACTGAATTGTCTAAAGATGGAAATCCGTGCTGCTGAAGACTTCTGGAGGATACTGAGAGGAACTGTCCACTCAGCACTTGTGGCAGTGGATTGATACAAATGCTCAGCTTTTCTTTGGCCCTCGTGTTTGGCTCCCCATTATTGAGGACAGGGGAGGTCGGTTTAGCTCAGTTGGCTGGACAGCTGGTTTGCGAAGCAGTGTGATGCCAACTGCATGGGTTCAATTCCCCTCACTGGCTAAGGTTACCATGAATCACTCTCCTTCTCAACCTCTCTCCTCACCTCCGATATGGTGGCTCTCAGGTTAAATCACCACCAGTGATCTCTCTCTAATGAGAACAGCCCTACAGTCTGCTAAGATAACGGTGACATGATTGAGCACAGGCTTATATGTCGAGATTGGTTTGTGGATGAGGTTGATGGTTTGCTCACCAAGCTAGCTGTTTATCGTACATGTTTCGTCACCATGCTAGGTAACATCATTAGTGCGGCCTTCGATGAAGTGATGTTGTATATTGCATAGATATTACAAAATGTATTGCATTATGGGTTGAAAACCAGGTCTCTAGGAATTCCCGTGCATGTCAACAAACATGTGGAATTAGACCCCGTATACAAACCCATGCAGAACAGAACCGGAAATGATACAACCCAACTTAACAAACCGGATCTTATAAACGCCAAGCAGAGTAGAACAACGTCGCTTCAACGGAGGCTCCACTGATGATGTTACCTAACATGGTGACCAAACGTCTGTACAATAGCCAGCCAGCTCAGCGAGCAAGCCAACAACTTTTTCTCAGTGCTGTCTAACATTATACTGATTCATCAGCTGAGAGAAAGCAGTAGGTGACAATCAACAGGAAGTTTCCTTGCCCATGTTTGACCAGATGTCATGATACTTGATGGAGTCCTGAGTCAATTTTGACAACGTTCAGAACAGCTGGTGAGTCTGCCCTGCTCGTGGTCTGTAGAAATGAAGGGATGATGATACAAGTGTCTTGGACATCATCTGTAACATATGATTCAATGGAAATGACTGCCAGATTGTTGTTTGACTACTCTGTGGCACAATTCTCTCAATTTTGGCAGAAGTTTCCAGCTGTTAATGGGGAGGGAGGATTTTACATGGCTGACAGAACTGGATTTCCCATTATCCTTTCTGGTATCTAGCTTGATGCCAAGTAGGCCTTCTAACGTCTCTGTTATAGTGCAACTCAAGGAATCTTACTACTGCAGTTACAAAATCTGTAAGAGGCACTGAACACATACAGCAAAATAACGTTTCAAGGTAAGGCAGTGTGCAACAGCATTTAATGTGCAAAAGAGACAATGAATTAGCCAGCTATGAATTTATTGGTATTCCCACCTTCACAGCAGGAACAAGCAGTAGAAGGCAGTGTGGCCTGGAGTAGCGCCACTCCACTCAACCATGCCACCCTCAAACACAGTTCCCCACTAATAGCAAAGATTTGGGTAAGTCTACCATATACTGTTCCCAAGTGCAAGAGCTAGTTACGTATCATTCAGTCAGAAACCAAAACCAATGAAGTATAAAGTGACCTAATGCACTTAAGTTCATCAGTTCAATTGCTCCCATTCGCAATGTTGCTGGTGTGAAGAGGTGGAACCAGCAGAAAGGTACTCCAGTTGCAAAAAGTTCTAAACCTTCTCTCCAGATACACCCTAATTTTGCAGTGACATTATAAGTATTTCACAGTATGAGTGGAGTGTTCATGAAATGTTTCAGACACCCATAAACAATTACATTACTCAACCCCCTGTGATAACACTATCACCATTAATCCATCTTTGTGACACCAGTATTCTCAGAGCCACATTCTCCACCTACTTAATCTTACATCAGGCTGTGGATTTGAGCGTACAATCCAACTTGTCACCTGAAAATTTGTCAGGATATGTTTCTTGTCAAGTGTTACAAAATTGGTCTTATTTCTGTCAGGTCTTTCACACATCTTTACCAGAGGATAAAGGCAGAGCCTCTATTCTGAGCTCCCCCAGTTTCATCCTACCCTCACAACCTTGCGTATCAGTACTTTTTCTTTTTGGATTTGTGCTTTTTGTACTGATGACCCCGCTGCTTGCTGGTTGTCTGGAGCTTTTCCATGCTTCTGTTGTCACTGTCGCTGTCTGATTCCCTCGCTTGTCCTCCTCCACCACTGCTGGAGCAGTTCTCAGGGACTCGGTCCCTCTGTAGACAATTTTCCCATGCAGGCTGATGTGACTTGGACATGTACTCTGACATCGGACTGAAATGGGACATCTGAGCTGGGAGTCCCACTTGTGCCATTGCCTGGTAATATTGCTGCTGCTGAACCATCTGAGAATTGATGTGGTACTGCTGCAGGGCGTAAGTGTTCATCTGAAAAGAGGAGCAGACCAGAATGGTGAACCACCACAAGATTTCTGTCCCTATCCCATCTCCGTTCTGCCCACCCCAGTCAACGCCATGTTTCCCTCCCTCCCTGTGTGCGCTGACGATTTCCAGAGTGCAGTTTTGCAAGCACTGGTTCTCCTCAGACACCTTGAGCCAAGCATGGTCGTCTTCCTCCACAAGATTGTTTCAGGTCTAAAAACCAGCTTGTCCAGCGATAGTGTAGGGAGGGTGTCAGAAAGCCCAAGCCCCCTAGCCCGATGGCACTGCCAACGTTGGCATAAGGTACAGTGGCAGTGAAAAGATGAGCATGATCTTGGGATCGAAGCTGGAGAGACAAGAACACGAGACTCAGGGAGTGTTACTCAACAGGTTCAAAGCTCAGGCGCACAGCTAACTCTCACGTACAGAACTCAGTTTTGACCTTGAGAGGTGATCAGTGAAGTACAAAGCAAGGTCATTAATAGAACTGTATGACCAGGACCATGAGGAATAAGAAAACAAAGGACTTGCATTTATATAGTGCCTTTCACAACCTCAGGATGTCCCAAAGCGTTTTACAGATAATGGAGTGCTGTCATGTTGTAATATCGGAAATGCAACATATAACCACAGCACAGCCATATCAGAATAACACTGAGACTAACAGCATTAAATTATAAGGTAATGTTGTACAAACTGATATTCTCTCTTCCCACATCACCAAGAAAAGATTTAGGGGAGCTTCAGAGGATGGATAGGGTTGATGGAGAGAAACTATTTCCTGTAGTGAACAGATGATCAAGAGCTTGTGGATGCAACCTTAAAATGAGAGCCAGTCCATTCAGAGTGGTGAAAGGATGCACCACTTCCCTTAAAGGGAGTGGAAACCCACAACCTCTTCCTCCAATAAAGCTGTTGATATTGGAGCTCAGCTGAAAATTCTGAAGTGAGCTGTATTTTGTTATGAAAGGTTGGCAAAGGATATAGAACCAAAGTGAGTAGGTAAAGTTAAGATATACATCAACCATCATCTAATTGAGTGGCAAAACATGTTTAGAAGGGATGAAATGGCTTCCCCCATTCCTATATTCATTTCTAAACTAGAACAATAAGAAGAACCCTTCTGTCTTTGCCAAAAGTACCACTGGCCTCGATAAGATTTGATCTGAAAGACGCACTGCCATGAGAGCAACACTTACTCTTGCTGTCAGCCTAGCGTTTGTGCTCAAACCTCAACCAATCTATGACTGTAGGTACTTGGGGAAAATGGGTAAGCTTACAGAGTTATTCAACAGGTTTATGAAGAACAGATAAACAGATTCCCAGTGGGATGCTCATTGCATGGTCCAGCTAAACGTCAACTCCATCATCTTCCAGAACCAAATTCCCATTTCAGTTTCATCCACTCGATCCCTTCTGTGAATGAGATCCTCATCTGCACTTCATGTCATCATAGAGCACTCTCTCTCCAATGCCTTCCATCCTGGACAAATCCCAATTTGCCTAACAGTCTGCATGTGTCTGTTATACCTACTCTTGCCTGTCATCCCAGGCTGCTAATCTCAACTGGTTCCAAACTGGTCTACCATCACCAATGGATTGTCAGCCATCTTATTCACACATACTTCAATAGCACACTGTGTGCAAATTTCTGTGTAAATTTGTTAAAATTTTAATGAAGTAAAATCCGCAAAAGTATCCATTTGGAATACTGAAGCTTACCAACAATAAAGTACAGTGGAACAGCTACTTCAATGGCCTGATCAAGAGTTTGTGTTACTTCACAATTTCATTTTATTTTCAGAGCTACACATTTCAGCAACAAAACCATATTGTGCTTACATGCTCCCAGCCTCTGCCTAGCAGAGGAAATGGTTTCTCTTCATTAACCCTATCCATCTTTTAAGCCACCCTTAAATCTTTACTTGGAGTTGGAGAATATAAGTTTTGCTTGTGTAACATTACCTCATAAGTTAAGCCTTTTAGTCCTAATGTTCTTCTGGTGCAGCTGTGCTGCAGTCACATACCTATATTTCTAATATCACATTGTTTACTCCTTCCATCATTATAAAACTACACCTCCTCTAGTAAGTGTAACCCTCTAATATATGGTTTACCTTCTGATAAAACAATGAACCCTTCACTATATCCCCAGATAAAATAGTGTGCTCTTTGATAAAACAACTGCACTCTCTCACAAAATAGTGTACCAGCTGATAAAATAAAGAACCCTCTGTTATACAAATTATTGTCTGACAGAACACTGCCCCTGTCTGATGTATCATCTGGCGAATTAGTGTTGTCTGTGATAGTGACTTACTGTCTGATAAAATAGTGCACCCTCTGATAAAACAGTGTACCCTCTGACTTACCAACAGCCGCTTCACGGAGAATTTTCTAGTTTATGTAAAAATGGTACATGTGCGTGCATTTTGTCCATCATAATCCAGATGTCAGACTTTGTTATAGGTGCAAAACAAGCTTTAAAAAAGAGAAAGAAAGCCAGTCACCTATTGCTTCTTACCCAGGGCCTGAATCTGAGTATTTTCCAATCTTCACTGTTCCCTGGTGCAACAATTAAACTCAAAATTGGTCTGCCAGCCTGTGTTACATAACAACAATTAAATCTGCAGCCTTCACTAGTTGACCTTAGCAGTATGGTAACATGTTGTGAGTCACAGTCTGGTCGTTATAACACTATCAGTCAGCAGAAATGCCTCACAGTCCATATTTGTTTTGATATTAAATTGTTTTCTCTTCATCAACTTTACACTGCTTGTGCTCCCAGACCTTGGCTAATATTGTTGGTGGATCATGAGTGGGGTTTTCTTTTAGATTAAAAGGGTAAAGATAAGAATTATAAATACTGTCCTCTTGCATTGCAATACCCCAGCTCAGCAACATCTGCTACTAAAACCCGTGTCCTTGCCTGTCATCTTCAGACAATCTTCACCAGAACTCTACTCTCTTGGAAGGTTTTCCATGAATTTCAAATACCACCCATATATCAATTTCCACTAAATTCCATTCATCCTCTGCTTGCTAACCTATGCTGGCTCTTGGTCCAAATGCTTCTATTTTAAAATCACCATTCTTGTGTCAAAATCTCTTCACAGCAGAGCTTGTCCTGCTCTTGAAAGTCTCTGCCATCTCTTGAATGATCCCCACAAAATTCTCCACTCCTCTACCTCTTTCTGGACATGCATCCTTTCACCCAACGGGTGAGGCTGTTTAGACCTCAGACTCTAAAATATCTCCTTGAATTCCTTTGCCTCTCCCCCCACCTTTTAAAGATCTATGTTCCAACCCACTTCTTTAGCCAGGTTTTGATCACCTACTCTCACAGCTATACCTTGGCTTCAGCATCCACTTAAATGATTTATGTCTCTGCAAAGCACCTTGGGATTACCACAATAAAGTCACTATATAAATGCAAGTTGCTGTTGTAAGGAATATAGTCTGCGTCCTCGAAAAAGTGGCAGGTTACCTACTGTACAAGGCCATAGGCCTGATAGACCTCAAGCTTCCAATCCACAGGACTTCATAACTTCATACTTACCATAGTTTGCCAGTAGTAAGGGTCAGGGTTGACATGGTTGTTCATGGAGTATGGTGGAGTTAGATACAGCGAAGAACCTGGTCTGTCTTGGAATGGAGGGTTCCTAAAACAGTGCACAGTAAACGTGTTATTAGAAGACTAAAGGAGACAAGAATGGACATGTGCATGACCCTTGGCTCACTGCCTTATAACGGCACCAAGGTTTTAAAATATTCATCTTGGCTCTCAGATCCCTCCATGGCCTCACCCTATCTATTTCTCTGCAAACTTTTCCAGTGTTAGAACCCTCCAAGACCTCTGCGCTCCTCCAGTTCAGGTGTCCAGTGCATTCCCAACTTGTATCGCTCCACCTCTGGCAGTCACAACTTCAACTGTTGGGTGCCAAAGACTGGAATTCTCTCTCAAAACCGCCCTCTCACTTTCATATTCTTTTAAGAACATCACTATAGCCTCCCTCTTTGACCATCTTTTGGTCAGCTATCCTAACATCAGTTTAAGGTGCTATATGCAGTAAATGCAAGTTGTAAGCATGTACTGGATTACAGAGAAACATATCATTTGGACCAAGAGGTATGTTTAAACTTCACAGAGGTTCCTCATCTGAATGTATTTCTATCCTTTTTGTCTTAGTAATCATCCAGTCACATTTTGACTACATCCAAGCTTTTTATCTGAATGATTTCCCATGGTGACAAGTTTCACATTCTAAGCAGTGGGCAACAAAATTGCTCCTTAAATAAAAACCAAAAGAACTGTGAATGTTGTAAATCAGCAACAAAAACAAAGTTGCTGGAAAAGCTCAGCAGGTCTGGCAGCATCTGTGAAGGAAAAAATAGAGTTAACATTTTGGGTCCAGTGACCCTTCCTCAGCAAAATTGCTCCTTATTTCTTTATCGCAGGAGTCCGCAACCTACAGCTTCAAAGACTCTTCAACATTTGATCTGCAGCTCTCAACCTTTTCCAATTGGGTTACATTAACATGAAAAAAGCCTTTAAGAAATTAAGTCAATAAAAAAAAATGGTAAGTACTTTTTATTATGGAGATAAAAGTCTAAACTGTGCAGCAACTTTATGGTTTAAAATCATTGCATTAAAAAAAATCACCATGTTCTAAGTAAACCTGTTTGAAAGGTACGGTGACACCATGATTATAGATGATACCTTAACTCTGGTGACCAAATTTTATGGCTATGACCAAGATTTTTGTCTTTTAATTCTGCAGTGAGTAAATCACTTTCTATCTCCCCAAATCCTGTCCTCCATCGACAAAGCACAAGTCAGCAGCATTATGGGACATTCTGCACATTCTTGGATGATTGCAATTCCAATGACATTCAATATCATCAAGGAGAAAATAGCCCACCTGATTGGCACCCATCTACCTCCTTCAACACTTCCTCTCTTCACCTCCAACATACATGGCAACAGTATGCACCATCTATGAAATGCACTGCGATAAAACAGCAGTGATGGCCAGGTGTGTGGTGGCATTGTGTTGTTGCTATGTCACATTGACAGCAGGATGGCTTCTTGTGTAAATTGCTCAGAGATGCTGGGCTGGGCCCTATGAAGAGCTAACTCCCTCTTTTGATTTTCATGTCCCCACTTCCAGCAACAGAAGGAACACGCCTGATTTCCAAACTGATCCTTGTGACAGCATCACAGTCGAGATAGGAAACTAAGTGACGTGGGTTTATTGAATTGTGCCAGCCCACAGACTAATGTTCCAACATACACTGCTACAAGTTACTGGGGTGGGTGTCTTCCTTTGATAAAAATGTGTTTAATTTCCCCAAGGGGTTGGTTAACTCAATTGGCCTGGATGACTGGGTTTGTAACACAATGAATCCAACATTGTGTGTTCAATTCCATACCTGCTGTGGTCACCATGAAGGTTCCACCTTCTGAACCTTACCCCTCACCTAACGATGATGACCCTCACATTAAATCACCAATTGTCTCTCTCTAACAAGAAAGCAACCCTATGGTCCTCCGGGACTATGGTGACTATACTTAACACCCATCTTTTACTCCTTCTCTCCTGGTTCTTGCATTTCTTATATATAGCAGCCTGGAAAGGACCCAGTGTGAGATCTCACACTCAAAAATCTTTGGAACCTGCAGAAAGATCTCACATTTTATTTTGTAGCAACGGAAAAGGTTTATTCAGTACCTGAAGCTCTCTTGTGGTGCTTGGCACGGTGAGTTTTCCAACCCCACTGTATGGGAGCTCCCTGAAACAAAGACAAACACATCGCCACTGCTAAACTCATAAAAACTCATTAGTTACAATGCACTGTCAAAAAAATCTCAAGCTACCATATCTTGTTTTACACAATGCAACGTCAGAATTAGAAATATGGGTCTCTTCAAGGAACAACCAGAACAGCTCCACAGTTGCATGAAAGTAGCATTGGACTTTATATTTAAATATATTATCTGGTTGGTGAAAAAAAAGTAGCCCCCTTCCAATTCCATTTTAATTTAGCCCCCTCTCTCTCTTCTTAGCCTCCCCTACTTTTGTTCTTGCTGCCCTTCTCCTCGTGTGTGATGTGTCTTGTTAATTTCTGGTTTAGCAGATTACTTGATGGTAGGCCATCAGAAAAAAAAAAAATCAGGGTCCTCAGGGGCACTTGTGACATAGTGGTAACGTCTCTACATTTAAAGTGAGAGACCCGGGTTCAAGCTGCACCTGGTCCAAAGGTGTATAATAATATCTCTGAAAGATTAGAAAATATCAAGAACTGGGTCCTTGTTATTGTGCGCTGCTCCTGCCAAGCAGAGCTTGTAATTTGTCAATTGTTTAATTCATCAAATAGGTGATTTGGTGGTTTATGAACAAAAAAAACTGGTCCTTGGAGGGATCTAATGGTGCAATGGTTTATTCCTACCTCTGGGCCAGAGGCCTGGGTTCAAGTCCCAGCAGCTTCAGTGAATGCACAGTTGATTTAAAAAACAAACTTGAGTGGGTGATTTGATAGTAGATCATTTGTTTTCTTTTAAAAAGACTGTTTTTATGTGGACACCATGCGTGCATATCTCTCTTTCCAATACAATTTTGATTTCATCCCTCTCTCTTTTCCTATCTATCTTCAATTTTTGTTACTTGCACTTTTTTTTTAAAAGAGCTGTGTTCTATATTAAGTATTTGTTTAATTAAGTGTTGTATTTATAAGAGAACTGTGTATGGGCTGCTTCTGGAAAGTGAAAGGATCCAGAAGGAAAAGTTGGAAACTGGTGTTTGTACTAAACTACTGATTTACATTAAAAACCTTGTAAACCTCTAAAGGTCTTTTGCTGTCTAATTCTACATAAAGATATTTGTCTGTTAACCGTGGCATACTTGTTTTAAACATTAAGGTCACCAACTCAGAGTGACCTAACCATTAACATAACATTTTGTTTATGTAAAGATTCAACTTCAATTGCAACCACGATCAATTTGCTCCCACAATTTAATTAAGATCTTATGATCAAAAAGAATGTTTTGTGAGACTGTCACATTTAATATTCACAGGTCCAGATGTCCATTACCCTCTCTACGAAGAAGTGCTTCTTGACATTACTTCAGACGCTCCCTGGTGAACTCTAAGATTAAGTCCCATTGTCCTGGAATTTCTCCACCTAGGGAAGAGCTTTTCCTTTCTACCTAACCCCACCCCCCCCACTCCCTTAAATCACCTTAAACATCAGGATTTTATCACCCTTTAAACTTCTTCACTGTTGTTGAATCAAAATCCCTGAGCTCTTTCCCTAATAGCTCCTACATGACACAGACTGCAATAGTTCAAGACAGCAGCTCACAACCACCTTGTCAAGGACAGCAAGGGACAGGCAGCAAATATTGGCCTTGCCAGCAATTCTCATCTCCACTGAATAAATAAAGCAAAAACCTACCTTTAATCTGTAGCGGTGGTAGGAACTGTTTTGAATCAAACACCCGACTATTTCTTCAATGGTCAACTTGTATTAAAAGGATTTTTAAAAATTCATTCACGGGATGAGGGTGTCACTGGCTAGGCCAGCATTTATTGCCCATCCTGTGAATCCCAGAGGGTAATTAAGTGTCAACCACATTGCTGTGGTTCTGGAGTCACATGTAGGCCAGACCAGGTAAGGATGGCAGTTTCCTTCCCTAAAGGGCATCAGTAAACAGATGGGATTTTCCAACAATCGACAATGGTCTCATGGTCATCACTAGACTCTTAATTCCAGATTTCTATTGAATTCAACTTCCACCATCTGCCATAGTGGGATTTGAACCCACATCCCCTGAACATTACCTGGGTCTCTGGGTTAACAGTCAAGTGATAATACCACCTGGGTGACTTCACCTAATGACGATATCCGATAAAATGATCCTAATAACCATCCACTCCTTCAAGGGGTTAATGGAAATATTCATTTCACGTTAAATTCAGCAGGTGGATTTGAAATTCTCATGTACAATTCAGACAAAAGCACATAATCATAACAACAATCTATTGCAGGACCCAAGGAGTGATACATCATTAGATGCATGGTCTTTCGGATAAGTGGAACTGAGGTCCTGTTGATGAATTGAAAGGATTGCCTGGCACTTTTCGAAGATGGTTGAGGGATGGATTCAGGCCAAGACACAGGGAAAACCTACCACCAATAAAACAGGAACAAAAACAAAGTTGCTGGAAAAGCTCAGCAGGTTTGGCAGCATCTGTGGAGGAGAAAACAGAGTTAACGTTTCGGGTCTGGTGACCCTTCCTCAGAACTGCCAATAAAACAGAACTCACCAATAAAACAGATCAGCTGGACATTTGCTGATTCTGGGACATTGCTACAAACAAGAGGACAATTCTGGTTGTCTATTTAACAACAGTGACGATACCTGATTATGTGCTCTTTGCATTCTTAGCCCAAAAAAAATGTTATTTTTAGATCAGGATCTGATGCCTCTCTGCTCCTATGATGCTGCTTGGCCTGCTGTGTTCATCCAGCCCTGCACCTTGTTGTCTCAGATTCTCCAGCATCTGCAGTTCCTACTATCTCTGATTCAATTTTAACCCCACTGCGAAGCCTCTTCTAAGGATGCCTAGCCTGAAGAAGTTACCCTCCTCCCTCCAGCCTCTCTGCTCCTATGACGCTGCTTGCCCTGCTGTGTTCATCCAGCCCTGCACCTTGTTGTCTCGGATTTTCCTCCTCACAGGATCGAGCAGATTGAGATCAACGATAGCCTGGAGTAGCACTCTTGGCCCTGGGTCAGGAAATGGATCATTCAAGTGTTCCTCCAAACACCTAAATGAACAACGGAGACCATCATTCCAGCTTGGTGATGAGGAAGGCAGTGCCGTGCTATGAGGTGCTGTTTTCAGATGTGATACTAAGCAGGCTTCAGCTCAGGTCAGCATGAAAAGTCCCACGGCCACCATTCAGAAGGGGAGAATGAAGTTCTCACTGGTGTCCTGGGCCCTCAACAAAAATCACGAAAACAATTGATTTGGGTCATTATCGTTGGTGTCAGCAGCAGCTTGCTTTACACAAGTTGGCTGCCACATTTCCCATATTGCAAGGGTGGCCACACTTCCAAAGTAGTTAATTGGTTGTCAAGTGCTTTAGGACACCTTGAGCTGGTGAAGGGTGCTATTTAAATGCAGGGCTGCCTTTACTGTCTGCCACTACGTGAAGCATTCTGCTCTATATTGACAGTGAGCACCACCACTCAATAGGGGAGAAATGTGTGGTTTTTATTTGCAGTAGAATAGCAACATTGCCATGTCTCCTTCCCAGATTACCTCAAGCTACGTAGTATTCCCTGACTACAAAGGCCTCCACAGTCACAGAGGTCTGACTGATTGGCTGCTCTGGGGGGAAGCCAGGAGGCTCTAATACAGTTCCACCTCCATTATAACAGAAATCAGGGCCTCGAAATATACTGGCACTAACCCGTTAAAACATAGAAGCACGCCACATACCAGAGCGATACTGCAGATTCAGCGGTCTGCCATATAATCTGATTCCATTTAGCAAGGTGATGGCATATGGAACGGACTCTGTGTGCTTGAAGCAGACGAACCCATAGGTCTTCTGCCTGCCATCTTTGTCTTTAGCGATGTGCACCTTGGTCAAAGGCCCAGCCTGCAATCACACACAGAAGCACATGTCAGATGACTGACCTGCTAGCACCATGGAATCTTACAGTACATTCATCCCATCATGTCTGCGGTGCTTCTGTCTAAAAATATTTGGACAAATACTTGGTAGACTCTGGAGGGAGAGAAGAGCTGTCATAACTGAGAAGCACGACCAAAGAGCTGGCACAGACACGGTGGGATGAATGGGCTTTTTCCATATGAAAACTTTGATTCAAAGAGACTAAATATACTCTTGTTAACAAATGGGATTTAGAATTATTAGAAGTGCATTGTGAATAGGTGAGTCAAATAGGCCGAGTCCCTTCTGCCTGGACCTGCTGCTACCTGCTGTAGATTGCAGTTTTCGGCAGATGAAAGAAGGCAAATTTTACAGCATCTTACTGAGGCCAACAGAGGGAGCTGGGCATCAAAAGCTTCATGTGAGGGCAAAATAATTTTACTTAAAATTTTTAAATTAATACACTAGCAAATAAATAGGTGATTCAGCTCAACAGATTCAAACCCTAACTTTTAGCCATTTTCAAATCTTTTCCATCTAAATCCCTCAAGACAATTGTTATTTCTCCCTTTCGCATGTTTTTCTACCTTCTCCTTAAAAACATCTCTTGCTGCTCACCTTTGTTGTCTCAAGTGACATCTTTCATTTGTAAAGGAAGAATGTGCAAGGTGACACAGAAGAAGGGGGAGAACAGGACCAGGTAGATTGCACATTTGGAGAGCTGGCGCAGGCATGGTGGGACAAATGGTCTTGGTCAGAAATGAAATAATACTGTGGTGCAAGACTGCACCGAGAGACTTAAAAAAGGGGCAGAAAAGAACACTTCACCTCATGCCCATTCTCCTCAAAACTCTGTACATTCTGCCTTTTTAGATAACCATCAGGCAGTGTATTCCAGAACCCTGCCACTTGAAGTGTGATAAAAGTTGTTTGATAGCATAAACAAAAACAGAAATTGCTGGAAAAAATGTTCTAAAGGGTCACTGGACCCAAAATGTTAATCCTGCTTTCTCTCCACAGATCCTGCCAGACCTGCTGAATTTTTCCAGCAATTTCCATTTTTGTTTCTGATTTCCAGCATCCACAGTTCTTTGGGATTTTTTTGTTTGATGCCACTTTTGCCAATCACAACTGCATAGCCCTGGGAGACATGGGTTCAAGGATCCATCCAGCATCTTTCTCCACAAGTGTATTTAACAAAGTTAATATATGAGCAGTCATTTCAAGCGAGCGACATTTATTTAAAGTTTGTGAGGTTGGCACAAGGGTATTTTCAGGGAATTCAGATTTGGGGGATATTTTCAAGGCCAGAATTGAGGGAAGACGGTTTTTTTGGGATGCATTTGATAGGAGTATTTCAGAGTGGTCTCTGGAAGGAATGAGTTGAGAGACGCACAGAGTCATAATGCAGGGAAACAGACCCTTTGGTCCAACCAGTCCATGCCGACTACAATCCCAAACTAAATTAGTCCCAACTGCCTGTGCTTCTAAACATTGTAACTGTACCTGCTTCCACTACCTCCTCAGGAAGTTCATTCCACACACTAACAACTAATGTTGCCCCTCATGTCTTTTTTAAATATTTCTCCTCTCATCTTAAAAATATGCACCCTCGTCTTGAAATTCCCCATCTTAGGGAAAAGGCACCTGTCATTCAACTTATCTATACATCTCATCATTTTATAAACCTCGATAAGGTCAATTCCCAACCTCCTACGCTCCAGTGAATAAAGTCCCAGCCTCTCCTTATAACGCAAACCCTCCATTCCTGGCAACATCCTAGTAAGTCTCTTCTGATCCCTCTCCAGCTTAATAATATCCTTCCTATAACAGGGAGACCAGAACCAGACTCATTGTGTACAGAAGTCATACTGGGGCATAATTTCTAGGGCAGTCCCTAGGCTAGAAGATGTAGGGTGAGATTTACAGGAACATTTCAGTGTGCCTTTTCTGATGTCGGGTGAGCTATCTTCGGAGGTTCATATTTGGGGAAGAACATCTTTTGGGAGCCATGTTTCTTATGGATAGATTTTATGAATATATTTCAGATTGGACTCTCAGCAAAGAGTGGGTTTCAGGATTGTTTCCAGGAGATTAATAGATGCAGCAGTTCTTTTTTGGGGTAGAATTTCTGAAGGACAATTTTCAGGAGGCAGATCTCCAGCAGTGAGGTTTTCTAGGTGAGTCTTTTTTTTTGGGGCTTATATCAGGTTGGGTTTCAGGAAAGTGATTGAGCAGTGTTTTCAGGAATATTTTCAGGGGTATGTGCAGAAGCAGTTTGATGGATATTTTCGAGAGTATTTTCAGGAGTATCATGACAGACACCTTCAGAGGTATTTAAGGAGTATTCTGTGCGGTATTTTCATCGGTATCTTCAGCAGTATTCTCATGGGTACTTTCAGGAGGGTTTTGGAGGTACATTCAGAAATGTTCTTGGAGGTATTCACAGGGGCATTCTTAGGGGTATCAAAAACAGAAGTAGCTGGAAAAGCTCAGCAGGCCTGGCAGCAGAGATAGTAGGAACTGCCAATGCTGGAGTCTGAGATAACAAAGTGTGGAGCTGGAGGAACATAGAACATAGAACATTACAGCGCAGTACAGGCCCTTCGGCCCTCGATGTTGCGCCGACACACAGGCAGCATCTGTGGAGAGAAATCAGAGTGAATGTTTTGGGTCGAGTGACCCTTCTTCAGAACCCATTCAACATTGCAGAAATAGCGATGATTCCAGGTAGATTCAAAGCACGAAGGATGAAAATGGAGTTGGAATCCACATGGGGTGAGTCTGAGCCACAGGCAGTCACGGAGGAATGTGATGTGGCCATGCAAACAAGTTTTAGCAAATAAAAACTGAAAGAACTGCAGATACTGTAAATCAGGAACAAAAACAAAGTTGCTGGAGAAGTTCAGAGATAACAAGGTGTAGAGCTGGATGAACACAGCAGGCCAAGCAGCATCAGAGGAGCAGGAAGGCTGACGTTTCGGGCCTACACCCTTCTTCAGAAGCTCAGCAGGTCTGGCAGCATCTGAAGGGATCAGTTCTGAGGAAGGGTCACCTGACCCGAAACGTTAACTCTGTTTTTCCCTTCACAGATGCGGCCAGACCTGCTGAGCTTCTCCAGCAACTTTATTTTTGTTCCAAGTTTTAGCAAATACCTGGTCAAATCTGATTTGTTTCTGATTTACAGCATCCGCAGTTCTTTAGTTTTTTATTGGGGTATGTCTGGGAGTCTTCACAAGGGTACTCTTAGCTATTTTCTGGGATATTCTTACTGGGTATTTTCAGAAGAATTCACATGGATATTTTGAGATGTACTCTCAGGTGTTTTCAGAGATATTTTAAGGGGTATTCTGAGGGACATTGAGGAATATTGTCAGGAATATTTTCATGGGTATTTTCAGAGGTATTTTGAGGGATATTAAGGGATATTTTCAGTATTTTAAGGGATATTGAGGGGTAATTAAGTGACATTAAAGGATATTTTCAGGAGTATTTTAGGGGACATTGAGTGATATTTTCAGGAGTATTTCAAAGGATATTTTCAGGGACAGTGAGAGACCTTTTCAGGAGTATCTCAAAGGATATTTTCAGGGACATTAAGGGATACTTTCCAGAGTATTTTGAGGGACATTAAGGGATATTTTCAGGAGTATTTTAGGGGACATTAAGGG